GCACACACTATGACTGGAAAACTCAACAGACAAGATAACAGAGCTAATGGAAAACATTAAACTTGTGGTTGTGTTTGTGAGTGTCATTTCCATTCCCTCCATTGAGCTGTCAAGTCACATTTTGTGTTAAATGTAGCATTTCCTGCAATCACCTTGACTGCAGTCACCCCCTATTTATGTCATCTAACACTGGCTAGCGTGATACCAACCACATCATTATCTGAGCACCACCAGGTCTATTGGGGGGGGGGGGGGGGGGGGGGGGGAAGGGGGGTGTCATCTAACACAATTCAAAGCATAAATGGCTAGCGTTCTCTATACTACCAGGAGCCACAATAGCATAGGACTACACATCTGATAGCACCACCATTTTTATAGGTCATAAAATTATCTTCCTTCTTCTCTTATGTTCTTTTTATCTTCCTCTTCTCTTATCTTCTTCTTTTCTTCTTCTTCTTCTTAACTTTCTTCTTCTTCTTCTCATTCTCCTTCTTATCCTCCTCCCTCCTCCTCTTACTCCTCGTCCTCCAGTCATAATGTGCCTATTGGCATCAGGGTTTGAAAAAGCACTGGATGTGAGCCTTAGTATGTGCTATTTAGATGCTGGTATTTATGGCATTGGATATTTTCATCTATCCATCACTTGCATGGTCGATCTGTTGCTCTGCTAGACAGGAGTTCAGAGCAATGGGCAGGGTGAAAAACACCACAGAAAGATAACATTAGAGAACTTAACAGTATGTTTCTATGCTTGATGTAGCCAGAACAGCAAGAATATCTCCCTCGATACCTTTAGTGGTACAAGAGAAAGTGATGAAAGAAAGAAAAGAAGAAGAAAACTGTAACTTCACAGCCCTACTAAAAGATGTAATGGCAAAGAAGTTTGTTGTGTGCACTTCTAAAAATATTGAAAGATAGCAGTCATCTGAGCTTGTTGATATATCTATAAAATAAATCCTATAAAAGGTGTTAGTGTAAAGTAAAAAGTTTTTTCTGGTCTGCAGATAATGGACATGTTTGCTGTGTTTTTAGTCTTTATTTTATGAAGTTCCATCGTTGCATTCATCGGTATCTCATGTATTTATTTAATTTTACAAGCAGTATTTATGCCATGTGCAATCGGAATTCATGAATTTGCTAATGAGTTATGAGTTGAGTATTGACATCACATCGCTCAGGACATTCCCATTAAGCACATCATCCCCAACCTCAGCAGCAAATGCAGAGCTCAAACTCTGATGATACCAGTAACAGTCTAAGTGTATGTCTATCTCACTCCTCCATTGAGTGCTGAAATGTCAGCCAGTTTCCCCAGTCACTTCTTGGTGCCCCATGCACCATTCTCTTCAGATCTTGATGGTCTATTTGTGCCTCTGCACTGTTATTAGTTTACCACTCAATGATGCAGAACAAGCCAACTGTTATTAATTTACCACCATATGGTGCAGAACCAGTCACTCTATCTGCTTGTTCATTTCCCAGATAAAATATCCAAAGGAAGCTAACTACATGGGACCTCTGAAGCAATGATTGTCACTCTGTATGGAGCATGCCTGTCTCCACCATTCTCATATGCTCTGTGAGTCAGTTACAATTGCATATGTAGGCTAGTTCTCAGACCAGTATAGAGCTGAAGTGACCACCTCCCCCTTGATTCTCAAACTAGATGATATCCTATGCCAGGCTATGTTGCACTAGCTTTTGTTATACATTTCTACATCTCAAAATAGAGCCAGCCACACAGATAATTACATCACCTGTGTGGGAATGGTCATGAATCATTTGATGAACTTCTGACTCTGCAGTGGCCACTGGCCAGTCACACTCACGGCCTAATGTGATTAAAGCCCTACACAAATCTAATCACTGCTCTGACACTTTGACTTATTTCTCTCCTTGCCCATTATTCTCAAGCCTGCACACATGTCTAATTGTGTTTTAGATTGATTTATCTTAGACCTTCCTCTCTTTAGTTGGTGACCCTTAGCTCTGTCTAAGTCTTCATATAAAAGGTGTTTCATGTCTAAGGCTACTCTGAGATATGACTTTGCTTGCAGTACATTAAGCCTGTCTGTAATAGGTGGCAGTGCAAGTACATGTTGTAAAGACAGTACTGAGGTATTTCTTGTAATTTCCAGCTTCATTCTGAATGGGTTTAAGTTTTATTAGCTGACTGAGGTTTGGTAAGAATTTTGAGTCCATAACCTATCACTAACACGATCACTGCTGCTATAATCATGACTACATTGAGTCCTTTTTGACATTTTACCACAACTGCCTCCACATTATCCCTGAAAGACAGGCTTCTATTAAAAGTGATAGCTAGGTACCTCAGTTTGCCTTCCCTTTTGATTTTTCTATCAATAATTGTGAGGCTTGTAAAATCAGCTCTTGCAAACTTATTGTCTTGAGAGCACCATAGAACAGCCACCTTTTCTGGGTTCATGACAGCACCTATCTCTGCACACCAGTCAGTCACTGTGTCTCCATTTGCTGGTAGCTCTTGAGCTGTTTGCCATCACTCCCCTGCCTATATGCAAGAACATCATCTGCAAATGTCAATATCCTACCAATACTTGGAGTTTCTAGTTCTGTGATTTTGCTTGTATACATATTGAAGAGCACTGGTGAAATTGAAAAAGCCTGTAGCAGTAGTCCCAGGGCCATATGGCATGCTTCTGAAGTCCATTTACCCAGGCAGAGAGCATATCTAACTCTATTGTAGGGATACTCAAGGTCAAGTGCTGCCACAGCCATCTCCTGTCTATTCTGGAACTCCACATAAACATCAAGGCCACTTGCAAGGTGTCACAGACCTCTGATTGACCTTGATGGTCTGTGGCTCATTTGATGGGCCTCTGACAGACAATCTAAGCCTAGCATACACTGAACCCGAGTGCACACAGTGCACACATGACAATCTTTGATATAAATAACATTAACAAAAGGCCTCGACAGGTCACATGTGACCCATGGAAAATCAATTAAATAGCCCTGACCTATACAATTGATCTGGAAGACCAGTGACATTTGACTAATATGCTTAACCAAATAAATATGAATAAAAAGCCTAACAATTTATGTGGAAGACCAGTGACTGATAAATTTTAAAAATCCTTATTATTTACAAATGCACTGGTATAAACAGTTACAAGACTAAGATAGCACTTCTTTTTCTTCTTCTCTTCCACCTTGTACCTCATCGAAGTGTTGGGGGGAGATGTAATGTTCGTTGATGAGCTCTGTCAAGAGCACTATTAAGACTGATGTTCATTTCTGTAAGGCTGTTCTTAATGCCATCACTCCATATTTTCCGAGGTCTTCCACTCGCTCTATACCCGTTGTAACGTTTTAGTGTGGCTCGCTGTGGATAGTACCAGGGCATTCTTGTTAGGGATCCAAACCACTTCATTTGTTGTTTTTTGATGACCTGTAAGACTGGCTTTATTCCTAGCATTCGTCTGATTTTATGATTTCGTATTCTGTCTTTCCTTGAAACTCCTGCAGCTCTTCTAAGGCATTTCATCTCTGTTGTCACAATTTTACGTTCATTGGAGGATGTAAGTGTCCACGTTTGGCATTGATAGCATAGTGTTTGCTAAAAAATAGTTCTGATAAGATTCACTTTAGTACTCCGAGGTATCTGCTTGAGTGTCAACAGGGGAGATAGTTGCCCTATTACTTGATTAGCTTTGGCACATCTGGAGCTAATTTTAAGATAGCACTATACTGGAGATATTACTGGGAAGAAGCGAGCACTGAATAACCAAACGGAAACTGAAATTACAAATAAATGGGTTGAAGACTCAGGGATATCCAACAGAAATCCTGAAAAGAATATGAGAGAGGCCAACAGATGCTGGACTGGACTGATCCTTGATTGTGAAAGGATTGCACATAATAGAACAGAATGGAGGACCAAACTGTCAGCCCTATGTGTACAACAGGATGATAATGGTGATGTAATTATGAGCAGGTGGATAGACTGGCCGGTTCTGCACCACTTGGTGGTGAACTGATATATGACAAGCTGGATGTTTTGAGGGCCCTTTGGGAGTGAACAGTGCCGAGGAACAGATAGATCATTACGGTCTAAGGAGGATGTCACTGCGAGGAGTTACAAGGGGATCTGGCCGACGCTCGAAACTTGGGGGAGGGGAGAGATGGATACACAATCAGACTGTTACTGGTACCATCAGAATTTTAACTCTGCGCTTGCTGCTGAAGATGGGTATGGAGCGCTTATGGAAGTGTCCCGAGTGCTGTGATGTTGATTCTTAACATTCAACATTTATTTGCCACATTCTGAGACAAAAGGACAAACAAAACAAAATAGACACTGCATCAGAAAACAAACTGAGAATGCTAGGATATACAAGAGAAACATTATGATCAAGATTTTTTTTTAAAGTGACCAGAGGTATCAGATTAGATTCCTCACATGATTTTGAAAGAATTGCTTAGGACGAAGCAAATCAGAAGAATGGACTGTGTGCCCGATGTGTTGAATAAATTACACGAGATGTGTATGATTATAAAAGGCACACAATGACAATAGTATTCCAGCTGTACAGCACACTGACCTGAACTCAAAAAGACAAATATAAGGCAGCAGATAAACTCAAACCAGAACATTTTGTGCCTTCATCTCCAGTTTGACACAGCTCATCAGTGAAACTTAACTCTCCGAGTCCCAAGGAACGCATCATACGTTGATAGGTTCCTACCTAGAAGCCCAATGAACGCATGATGCGCCGATTTTATTACTTTCTTTACTACCCCCTGGGCCTGTGATGCTAAACCCCCTGGGACTCAAAGAGTTAATTGCCAAATAGAATGTATATTTGTGCATGCATTATTTATTATGAATATATTTCTAACAATGTGAATATCAGATAGAAGCATTAAAAATTAAAACATCTGAATGTATCAAAAAATTGTAATTCAGTAGAGAAGATGGTATGTAAATGCTATATATATTGTTGACATTTGTTAAATACCTGGGGCACTTTGCAAGAGTTTAGGGTTCTGCTGAACTTGATGTCTACATCGTCACGAAACAGTTTTGGATCAGACCTGCCAAAAAATGTGACAAATATAAAACATTTAGTTGGATAAATAAACAACTCCTTGCATAAAACAGAAAACAGCTTTATGAGAGGAAATTGCCAGCTACACTCCTTATAGGCTTTTTCTTTCCTAATCAGCACTAAAACAATTTTAAAATCTGGAAGAGATTTGACTACAGGAAAGGGTCTAATAATTTAATATCATTTTTACCGGTAATAGTATCATTGGAAATGTTGTTCCTTCCTGTGATTTACTGTTTCAAATTCATCAGATTTCAAGGATTAAATATTGGTTTTCCTAACATAATTGTCGGCATCTGTGGCTTAGGCGTTGCAAATGAGCTTTGTAATGCCGGGATGCTGGGTTTGATCCCAGCTGCCGGCCATGCACCTTGCATTGGTTTCGACAGTGGTATCAAGAAGCCAACTGTCCAGAAAGCAATGGCAAACTACTGGACATAAATTTACCTAGAAAAACCACAACAGCTAAAATTATGCTGTGGTAGGTTCTGCAATGTCCTGTAAAGGATACGCAATTTACTTTAATATAATTAGACCTTCCAATGTTTGGAGTACCACACCCACACTTCAACCAACCCCCACCTGAAAGACCAGGGTGTCTGTTCTCTACTCATTGAACAGTCCAGTTTAGAAGGACCTGCTGATAGCTATACTACAGCCAGCATAGCTCTCAGGTTCACTGAGAAACTCAAGCTACCTTGTCATTGTAACATATTTTTCTTAGAATAAAATTTAAAGAAATTTGTGTACAAATCAAAGATGAAAATAGAGTGGAGAGTAGAGAATGAAGAATGAGAAACAGATTGAAATTCATAATCTTTTAAAACATCATTTATTATTATCATCATGAGAGCTAAAGTTTTGTAATGGCTAGGGCATATAGAAAGAATGTCAGGGAGCAGAGAGACAAAAACTGCATATACAAAAATCAATGAGTGGTAGTAGTCCACAAGGCAGACCAAGCAGACTATGGAGGGAATTTCAGTCAGATCTACAAACACTTATAGTCACCAGCTTGAAAGAGATAGCCAATTACAAAAATCAATGGAGGCAAGTGATATATGCAGCTCAAAAGGCTGAAGAAGAAGACACTGTTCTTCCAAAATGACACATGAATGACCACCACAACTTTAAGTGCTGCTAGAGTTGGCAGTTGTATTTATTAATAAATTAGGTTTACATTTTCTGAACCTATCACAATCAAAATGACACATATTTAAAACCACTTCAATTGTTGCAACACTCATAGAATTGGGTTGAATATTTTCAACTATAATTTACATTTTAAAAACAGGTTGCTATGAGCAAAAAAGTACATGTTTAATACCAGTTAAGTTTTTTGCTAAAATAAGGAAGTTGCATTGATTACATCACACCATATTGGTTTTGTTAGCCATTTGTAGGAGGTCAGAAAGGGGGGGGGGGAGAAAACATATACCCACAGCCTCTTAACAAGCATGTTTAAAAAGCAATTAATTAATTAATTAAGGGCTTATTAAAATTGTATGTGTTGGACCAAAAGGCATAGATATTACAGCTTAGGTGTAAATCATAATACAAGATACCAACCACCCGTGTAAGGATAAAAGCATAAGAAGTATAGCCACCTTTAATTTTGTAGTAATTGGTTGTTATAGGTGTATTAAAGAAGTTAAATGAAGAACCCCAAGCAAAGGCAGTATTTCACCAAATGAAGAATATTTCATGAAATCATTCGATGTCATATGAGACAGAATGAGAATTCTTAAAAACTATATAAATTATATCTATATATACGGAAGTGAATCATAGACAGTAGGTAAATTAGTTTTTAAAAACTTGGAAGCTGTAGAAATGTGGTTTAATAGAAAAAGGATGAAATACACTTAACGTAAAAAAAAAAAAAAAAAAACAGTAATGAAGATATCTTAAAAAAAACTGACTCATGAAGAGAACTGATTGTCTGCATCAGAAAGAGACAGAGAGACAATCTATATTGTTTTTATCATGTGATGAGAAGGAGAAATCTGGAGTACACCATGACAGGAGGAAAGCTGGAGGGGAGGGGAGTCAGAGGAAGACCGAGAGAAAAGATGCTGAACAGTATGACATCATGGCATGGAATTTCATCTGTATTAGAATGAAAGTACATGAGACAGAAGGTTCTGGGTAGACATGATTACCAACACTACATGGCATGGACTTTAGGAAGAAAAATTGGCTGTTATGTCAAAATGTCATTTAACACATTTTTGTTATAAAGATCCCTTATCCGACTAGGAGACACACTAATTCAATCTTAATGCAAAAAGTACATTAAATAATAATAAAAAAAAAAAAAAAGACCATGATAGACAAACAAATCCCATAAACCATTATCAAGCTCTATGCTTTATTATGTGCAACAAGGCCATTACTTCCATTTTTGTCCAGGTAGTGCACACTGTCCAGCTCAAGTTTTGCTTTATAACTTTTTAAATTAATAATCATTTTTAACTCTTTCTGTTCCAAGAAGCTTTTCTTTTAAACTGTTTTACTTGAAAGTCTTTAATGTTTTGTCCTAGATGTTCAATTAGAAACAGTAAGGACAAGAAATGGTTAAACAAAGATGATATCATAACACAAGTTGAAATTTATATTTGCGATAGACAGAAGGAAACACGATGAGTATATCACTTTGGATTGATCAAGAAAGATATAATTGATTACTATATACCCTAAGAGTTGAATACTAGTAAGATTATTTAGACTTTATTTTAAAAAAAATGTTATGCTGTCTTTAGGTTACAAAAAATGTAATGTCTATACAATGTCCACAATTTATTATCAACAAAATATATGTCATCTTTAATATTTTTTACATCATTTTCCCAAGATGTTTTCCTAGAGTTTAGACATACTTGTCTTCAAATCTGTATTTTGTAACATTTCCTTGTCCTTTTTACTTGTCTATTTTCTCTACAGAAATTAAAAAATGGCAGGATGTTTTTTAACCAGTATGTCTTTTGGGCTGTCCCAGCCACATAAAAATAGGTACTGGATAATTCTAGTCATTTATTAGGAATTGTTGGAAGCAATGGCAACAAGGAAGGGAACAGGCCAACCGGTCTTATATGTTATAAAATACATACAATTAAATGACTGGGAGTGGGGGTTTAATGTCTATTTCATTTAGTCAATGTACATAAAATATGAAACATTGAATGTTGAATTTAAAATTGATATCAGAAAACTCGGGACATTTCCATGAGCGCTCCATCACCACCTTCAGCAGCAAACATAGAGTTCAAATCCTGAAGGTACCAGCAACAGTCTGCATGTCCGCCTGGCCTTTGTCTTGAGTGTTAGGCACTGGCCAGATCCCCTGTTCATGTCTTGCAGCACCATTCTTCCCAGATCATGATGATCTATTTGTGCCTCTGCATTGTTCACTCACTCCCAAAGGCAAGGGCCCTTACAACATCTAGCTTGTCATGCAATAATTCATCACCAAGTGATGCAGAATCAGCCAGTCTATCTGCCCGTTGATTTTCCAACACAGAAACATATACTGTACTGCGTGTATTAGATTTTTCAGAAGATCATGGTGTGAAACTGTCAATTATATAATTTAGATCAAGAATTAAGAGTGCCCTAACTTGGAATAGTTCAACTGTAAGGATACCTGATTAAGACAATGTTTATTATAAGCTACACACTTCTTAACAATTTAATACAAACAAACTGACTTTTGGTCAACGTCAGTCTATAACAGAAAATGTTAACTCTACATCTGGGCTTTGGGTCTAGGCTACTATCTGCATGCAGGGGAAAATATAAGATAGACAGTCACAGAGATGACCAACTTAGGAAGAACTGCAATTCACAGACAAAAGAAAATAATTGGGTAACATAAAAACTAATTCTTGAGAAAAACTAAACATGGCAGACTATCATGCTCACACAGGTAAAGTATCTACAATGATATTAACATTATTATTCTGTATTTAGAGTGTGCTCTGGGATTTAGATAAGATATAGCCTATATGATCTCTTCTGTGAATTCATTTCTTCTATACATCTTGCTATTTTGAAGAGCCATAATTGTAGACAGGAAATCAATTAAAACAGTAAATGATGAATCTATTTTAAATTACCAGTATATCTCTTGTTGACAATTGTTTTAGTTACACCATTTATTTACTATATTATATAATTATTACTTCTCTGTGCCTCAAATACAACCATTAATTCTATACAACTGTCACTACTGTCATATTTAACACATTTTAGGGCGGTGTAGATGGGGGAATTCATTAGCCGGGGAATTAAGGGCTACATGGCTAGTGCTGTCACCACGGACTGTGCAGTCTGGGATATTTAATTTTGTTCCTAACAAAAAAACTCCAATACTCCATCACTTACTACTTACTGGAGGGGGGGAAGGGTCAAATCCAAGACCTTCGCATGAGATCCCAACTTTGAAACCACTCGGCCAGTGGCTCCTCCATGAATTCTACATGGTAACTAAAGTATAGTGAACTAAAAACAGGACATTCTACTAATATTTTCAGTTAAAAATGGGACATCCTACTAATTTGTTTAGTTGCAAACAGAATATCCTAAGCAAATCAGTTTAACCAACTTGACAATGGTATAAAAACCCAAACCACTGGGGGTGAGGGGGGGAGAGAAATTTTCTTTTACTGCACTGAACAAAATATGCTACAAGGAAAATTACCCATCAACATATTTTAGGCAATAAACAGACATAAAACTATGCAGTTCAATCAGGTCTACAGTAAGCATATATTCTATTCTTGAGCTAATCTTTAGATTTTTTTCAAAACGGGTTGACTAATGGATATTTATGGAGTACCGATGGGTCAGCTATGCACACCTAAAATCAGGACTGTCTAGCTGAACTGAGACATATGATCATCCTGTGAATTCTACCACAAAAATACGGCCCTTTTTTTTCCATCCACATGTGGAGCCTGATAGAGTGTCATCTGGTGACTCAAAGAG